TTCCCTAGCCCCAAAATAGCTTTCTACCAAAAGGCTACAGGAATCATATTTATTCCCTTTAAAGATAGGTATGAGGCAAGAAGACACTATTGTGACCTCTGTTCAACACTGTTCTAGAAGTCCTAGGTACAGTGATAAGACAAGAAAAACTAATAAGGGTTATACCTCTTGTAAAAGAAGAAACAGTATTGTCATGGACAATAAGATTTTCTACATAGAAAATGTGATGGAACCTACAATATGTGAGGGACATTTGTTTCCTGTTTCTTCATGGTGGTAGCTCCATTAGAATAACACCCTTGGCCTCTATTTGCTCCCTCACCCACCCTAAAAGAGTAATTTATCAAGTTTGGAGAAGGAGCTGAGCCTGCACAGCCCAGTACCCTCCTTTCTACTCACTTGGGGAACCAGCCTGCCCGTAGGAACCTCTCATCCTCTGCTCCTCTACTCCATGGGTTTTACAACAGCAGGGCCTGCAGTTTTCCAGCTCTATGTGCAACTGGGTACATTTAATTATGGAATTGAAACTGTGTAACTCAGATTGGGACTTGAACCCACGTTCTTTTAACTGAAATCACACACCTGGTCTCAGGACTTAATGAAGCTCAGGTTCTTTTTTTTTCTTTTTTTTTTTTTTTTTTGCGGTACGCGGGCCTCTCACTGTTGTGGCCTCTCCCGTTGTGGAGCACAGGTTCTGGACGCGCAGGCCCAGCCACTCCACGGCACGTGGGATCCTCCCGGACCGGGGCACGAACCCTGCGTCCCCTGCATCGGCAGGCAGACTCTCAACCACTGCGCCACCAGGGAAGCCCGAAGCTCAGGTTCTTGATGTCTCATGGCAGAAAGGGTTCAGTGAGAGACAAAGTGATAGGTAAGAAGTGGATTTATTTAGAAAGAAACACACTTCCCAGACAGAGTGTGGGCCATCTCAGAAGCTGAGAGCAGCCCCAGGGTTTGGGGTTCTCAGTTTTTATAGGGGTGGGTAATTTCATAGGCTAATGAGTGGGAGGAGTATTCCAGCTATTTTGGGGAAGGGACGGAGGTGTCCAGGAATTGGACCAACGCCCACTTTTGATCTCTGATGGTTGGCCTCAGAACTGTCATGGCGCTGGTCAGTGTGTCACTTAGCATACGCTAATGTATTACGTATAATGAGGCTTGAGCGTATAATGAGGCTCAAGGTCTGCTGGAAGTCAAATCTTCCACCATCTTGGACCTATTTGGTTCTAATCATTTTATGTCATGTCCTCGGGCTATGTCATTCTTTTAAATGTTGTGCCCTGCCTCCTTCCCTCCTGTTTCAGAATGGGGTATTAAAGAGTCTGTTGTAGCCACAGATTTAACCCATATTTTGCAAAGAACCTTATGAGTAATAAAGGTGATAGCTTGTACCTCTGTCCATCTGACTCCTGCATTTACTTCTCAATTTGTTCTAAACTTGGGAGAGGAGCAAATGTCATACATAGTAACCCTCTCAAAACCCCAAAGTATTAGAATTAGTAAGAGATATCAGAAAGGTAGCTGGACACAATCAATATATAAAAATCAATATTATTCCTATACACAGCGGAATAACCAACTAGAATATGTAATTTTTTATTTTTTTTTTTTTATTTTTTTTTTTTTTTGGCTGCGCTGCATGGCAGCTTGCAAGATCTTAGTTCCCCGACCAGGGATTGAACCTGCACCCTCACCAGTGAAAGTGCAGAGTCTTAACCACTGGACTGCCAGGGAATTCCCTAGAAAATGTAATTTTAAGAAAATTCCAGGACTTCCCTGGTGACGCAGTGGTTAAGAATCCACCTGCCGATGCAGGGGACATGGGTTCGATCCCTGGTCCTGGAAGATCCCACATGCCGTGGAGCAACTAAGCCTGTGCCCTACAACTACTGAAGCTCACACACTCTAAGGTCCGCGTGCTGCAACTACTGAAGCCCACACACCTAAAGCCCACTCTCCGCAGCAAGAGAAGCCACTGCAATGAGAAGCCCGTGCACCGCAACTAAGAGTAGCCCCTGCTCGCCGCAACTAGAGAAAGCCCGTACGCAGCAATGAAGACACAACGCAGCCAAAAATAAATAAATAAATAGGAAATTCCAATTATAATTTTAAGAGTCCTGCAAGGTCTCCAGGAATAATGCTCACAGAACACAATCTTTAGAAAGAAAATTATAAAATTGTAACAATGGACGCTAAAAAATGGCCTAAATAAATGGAGAGATAGACCTTGTTCAGAGATAGGAAGTTTCAATAATGTAAAGATGGCAACTCTTTCTCAAGTAGGGAGACAGCCCTTCTGTATTCTGGATTCCCCCAACCACTCCCTACCACTTCTCTAAATAAGAAGTTTTAAAATATAAATAGAGAGTGAGAATTTATCTTGATTGATAAAATAATGCCCAAGAATTTTTTTTAAGTAATAATGGCTACTTTTATGGAGTGCTACTCAGTAAAGGAATAATCACAACATTTTGAACTAAGTATTATTATTATTATTCCCATTTTACAGACAAGGGAGTTGAGGCCCAGAGAGGTTAATCAATTTGCCCAAGGGCACACAGCTAGTCAGTTGGTGGAGCCAGGATTAGAATGCAGTCTGGCTCCAAGCCTGTTTTCTGCTGCTGTCAAGTTTGTCCTGAGGCGCCCTCGCTCTCACTCTCCTTCCATCTGAGAAGCTGCTGTGAGGGGGGAGGTGACATTGGAGTGAGCTCACTGTGAACACAGAGCTCTAGCCCCTTTGCCTATGGTCTCTGGGAAGTGTGCACCAGGTAAAGTAAGCACAGCCGGCCTGTGTGTCCAGGGGAGGAGGCTGAAAATCAGGGTCTATGTGATAGAAGAAGAATGCCCTCTGATCGTAAAAGGAGTGTTTGCCCCTGAGATGAGAGCTGTGTCCAAGATTCCTAGAAACTCAAGGAGGCCCCTCCTTCTCTGCTGGGATGTGAGACCCTGGCTCCCTGTGGGTCTGCTTTATTTTTAATTCTGCTTCATTCCTGCTCTTCTTTGGAACCTATCAATGTCATTACCTTGCATCCTGTCCCCCACACACATGTGCAGCTCCTACTTCTTGGAAAACACCCTGAGACACAGGTGGTGTGGTGGCCTGAGCAGGACGGTTCTGTCTGCCACTACGCCCCATACAAGTCCCTGTATTAAATTTCAGAATCCATGGAATGGGTCTGGCACTCAAACAATGCCCCTGCTAGATGGGAGGTGCAATAGTGTCCCATTAAGGTCCCATTCTGAGCACTCAAGGAGCTCAGGTGAGAAAACGACTTAACCACTTAAGGCAGATGGATTTCATGTTTAAGGGCAGAATGGTTGGGGGACCAGAGTAGTGAGGGGTTTCCTAGGGTCAGATTCCAGCTCTGGTAGCCCGTGGTAGGCAGAATAACACCTCCCCTCAAGATGTCCACATCTTCATCCCTGGAACCTGTAAATATGTTACCTTGAGTGGCAATGGGGAATCAAGGTTATTAATCAACTAACCGTAAGATAGGAAGGTTGTCCTGGGTTATCCGAATGGACCCAATGTAATCACAAAGGTCCTTAAAAGTGGAAGAGGAAGGCAGGAGAGCTGGTCAGAATGATATGGTGTGAGAAGAACTCAACTCATTATTACTGGCCTTGGAGACAGAGGAAAGAAGACACAAGATGAGAGAGGCAGGCAGCCTCTAGAAGCTGGAAAAGGCAAAGAAACAGATTCACCCCGAGAGCCTGCAGAGAGGCTGACACTCCGACTTTAGCCCCATGAGACTCAGGTTGGACTTCTGACCTCCAGAACGTAAGATAATAAACGTGTGTTGTTTTAAGTCTCTGGTCATTCGTTACAGCCAAGGTAGAAAACTAATACACTACCTAAATTCTGTAAACCTCAGTTTTCTCATCTATCAAGTGGGAATAATAACCACAGCTACTGCACAGAGTAGGCGTTGTCGACTGAAGAAAAACGCACTGCCTAAATATTTTAAGTTTTATTCGGGGACCTTACTGAGGACTCTCGCCTGGGAGACAGCCTCGCAGATAGCTCTGAGAACTGCTCTGCAGAGGTGAGGGAGGAGCCTTATACACAGGAGTTTTTGCTGGGAAAAAAAAAAGCAAACATACAGGTAGCTGAACATTGAAAGATTACTGCTAATCACAAAAAACCAGACATCTCAAGTTAATGATTTTAGTGCTTTTCGATGTTTAGGAAGTTGCAAGTCTGGGCTCATTGAAAGTATTCCTTAGATATGCATCTTCACTAACTAGGGTCAGTATCCTGTTTTTCTCCATCGTGAGTTCCCCTCAGGACGCACCCACGGTCCAAGGGCAGTTCAGTGGCTGATGGCTTGATGGCCAGCAACATTCACTGTTTACTGAAACAGCAGGCAACATTTTTTTGTCCACAGTGTGATGAACAAATGAGGCGCTGTATGTAAAAATCTTAGTGCAGGATTCAGCCCATAATAGGGATAAAATAAATGTTAGTATCATCATTGTTGAGAAGCTCAGTAACTTTCTCGTGGACAAGCCCTCCCGGCTCCCCTGGCACAGACCCTCCTCTGTAGCCCAGGGTGGATGAGCATCTCTCCTTATCCTTTTTGAGGATGTCATCACATTCTCCCTAGGACCACCTGGTCCACTTTCCCTTGCCCTCCCAATTTCTGCTTTTGTTGGTCTTTGATAGTCCAATCTCTGATTCTGAGGTTTGTGGGCAGGTGAGGGGCACTAGGATATAGAAGCTGCAACCCACTTTCCACAAGAAATGTCCCCTTGGCTAGAAGACCAGGGTGTAGAGTTGGTACTAAGTTACGGCTCTATTTCCAGAGCTGGCCTTAGGTAAATAATCTCTTTACCAAAAGAGATGGCTCTTGTGAAAAATTGCTGGGTGTTTGTATTTTTATCCATTCATCTATTCAAAGAACAGTAAATTTTCTGATCCTGGAGTCACAAAGATAAACAAGGAAGAAAAACCTCTGCTTCTCTTCTTGTAGGAAAGGAAAGGAGACAACCATGGAAAGCAGGCTTAACACCAGTGTTTATTACAGCAGAAAAGGAGAGGGGAAAAAAAAAAAAAGCGATGACCAAACCCCCTGCCGCCCCAAGTGGTGTGCTTCACTTAGCAGAACAAGGCTTGCTCTCTAACCCCTCTCCTGTTCTGGAGGCCCCAGCTCCACCGGCCCCAGGAAGGATTCTCCCTCTGCTCACCCTGCCGCAGTGGTAGGAAGGCCATTGCGGGGCAGGGAGGGGGGCCTGGAGTTTAAGCGATTGGTTTTAATGAGTTGTGCACGTTAGTCAAATGAAGCAGCACAAATACCTGCCATCAATCCCCAAGGCAACCTCTGCTGTGCCCACAATTCACAAAGCCTGAAGACGTCCATTCCACAGCCGAAAAAAGAAACGAAAGGAGCCTCATCTTGTTTCAATAGTATCCGGGCCGCTGTTTATCAAAATGCTTGCTGGAAAAGAACAAGAAAATAATGTTAATGTGATGGCGATGTTGATAAAAAAGAAGAAGCAGGGGGTGGGGGGGAAGAGAGGAGGGAGAGGAGGGGAAGGGGGGAGGGGGAGGAGGAGGAAACAGCGATCAAGCTGCCATTTCCTGAGCACTTCCTAGCATGCGCCAGGGCAGCGCTGTTTTCCATGCACTGACTTTTTTGATGCTCAGAACAGCTTTATGAGGGAGGAACTCTTCCGTGTTACAGGTGAGGAAACCGAGACAGAAGTTAGGAATATTTTCCGAAATGGAGTCACAATCTGAATGCTACCTGACTCCAAGTTCCAAGTGGCCCCATCCCTCCAGCCACTACGGCCTGGCTTTCCTGGTTGAAATGGATGTTGTCTGGAGCGAGGCCTCCGTGGGATCCTCTGTTTGGCAGGAGCAACCCCCGCCCCACCACCACCAGCGTCCCGGAAGCCTCTCCCCTCCCCTGGCCTGCACCACGGTTGACAAGTGCCTCTGCTCATGGAGCCAGTCACTATGCTCCAGGCTCTACCCCAGTTTACAGATATAGAAATGGAGACTCAGAGAGGGTAGGTGACTTGTCCAAAGTCACAGAGCAGGAACACAGAGCACCAAACCCAAGTCCGCCCAACTCCAGAGTCTGAGCTCTTAAGTACTCCGCAGTGCTGTGTTCTGAAAAAAGCCAAGAGCGGGCTTCCGGTGCTGGAGGAAAAAGGTCCCTGGTGCCAGGGGTGGGAGAAGCTCTGACCTAGAACAGGGATCCAGAGGCAGGGGGGACCAGAGCAGGATGTCAACCCAGCCCTTAGCCCTCAAAAGCAGAACTCCTATTCCATTCCTAGCAGATGCTCCTCTCACTGTCTGTTAAAGCCCCTCACAAGGACCGTGCCCGCCCCCATCCCCAACACACACACACACACACACACACACACACACACACACACACACACCCAGGTTCCAGCAGTACCGCCCGCGGAAAGCTTGCAGAATTTGGAGTTGTCAGAAGACAGACATACCAATACTGCCCGGCATGACTTAGTAGCTTAATCAAGCTCAGTTAGGTCCCCTATAAAACAGAGTTAAAACACACGCCCTGCGGGCTTCCCTGGTGGCGCAGTGGTTGAGAGTCCGCCTGCCGATGCAGGGGACACGGGTTCGTGCCCCGGTCCGGGAAGATCCCACATGCCGTGGAGCGGCTGGGCCTATGAGCCATGGCCGCTGAGCCTGCGCGTCCGGAGCCTGTGCTCCGCAACGGGAGAGGCCGCAACAGTGAGAGGCCCGCGTACTGAAAAAAAAAAAAAAAAAAAAAAAAACACGCCCTGCAATGATCAGGAGTGTTAAGAGGATCAAATGAGAGATTTTGTGCGATAGCACTCTGAAAATTATAAAGAGCAATCCTCTAACGGGAGTGTTCTGTGTCAATTCACAGCAGCACAAAATAAACAACAAGGAAACAAGATTTCTCTTAACAACAAATGATCAAGTACCCAGTTATATCCTGTCCTGCTTAATACATACAAATTACAGAGGAGAAATGAAACTCACTAGGCTTAACCTCTGAAGGGATTTTGCTGTGTAATCTAGCAAGAATTGGAAAGGGGACGAGGAGATGGACACAGACACACTGTGAGTGAAGCAGCAAACAGCCTCTCGCAGGAACAGAGGTACAGAGGTGGGCTGTGCTGGGAATGCTGAACCATGCAGGTCAGGGGGACTGAAAGGGCAAAGCCAGAAGAAGAGGGAAGATGGGACACAGGCTGGGCAGAGTCCCAGTCTGGAAGGCTGTGGGGAGGCAGTAAAGAAGTTGCTGATCCTGGTGACAATGGTGACCGTTGTGATGGATGTCACAGTCAAGCCCATGGATGCTGACCCCACCTGGAGAGACCCAAGTCTCAGCAAGCCATGTCTCTCCAGGTTTGTATCCCAGAGGGACCCTTTCTGAATGGCAAATAGGGTCACATCCTTCCCGTACTTGGGATCTTTTGGTGACTCAGCAGGAGTCAGGCCCCCATGCGCGTCCCCAGTGGTCCTCTCAACCTGGCTCCCACCGACCTCTCCTGCCTTGCACTTCCCGCTCTCCAACCCATAACCAGCTCACCCGCTGGTTCCCCTAACACCATGCTCTCGAAGACCCCCGAGCCATGCCTGCACTGCCACCGCCGTCTCCCTGAAACAGAAGGCCAAGGAGAAGGAACGTACCGGGGGCTGGTCCCGAGCTGCTTACACAGGATGGACCATGTTCCTGTCGCAGTGGGGCTTGCAGTGAGGGTTCAGCCAGTGCTCCAGGAACTGCTCCTCAGCACGGCGTTCCAGGCGGAGCAGATGGTGCATGTATTCCTGGCAAAACAAACCCACATCGAAGAGAAGCTTTTATTCACGGTTGATGGTCAAGCTGCCCATGTGCGGGGTACAGCTGTGGTTCTGAGACAGGGCAGCACAGCCAGGCAGGAGAAACCGCCACCAACCCTAAGTGCGGAGAGGGTGTGTATCCATGGGAACTCATAGACACTGCTGATGGAGAGTTACATGGAACAACCACTTTGGAAAACAATCGGTTGCCTGCAATCCAGAGATTTCACTCTTGTTTATATCCTCGAGCAATGATTCTCAAATTTCATCAGGCATCAGAATCACCCAGAAGACTTGTTAAAACCTACAGACTGCTGGGGCCCCACCTTCAGAGCTTCTGATTCAGTGAGTCTGGGTTAGGGCTCCAGAATCTGCATTTCTAACAAGTTCCCAGCTGAGAATGCTGCTGGTCACTTTGAGAACAAGAGCAGATACGAATGTTCACAGCAGCAATAAATTTGTAGTAGCAAAATTCTGGAAACATCTGGAAACATGTTAAATATCCATTGACAGGAGGATGGATAAATAAATTATGGTAGGGTCACACCATGGAATATTATACAGCAATGAAAAAGGGAATTATAGCTACATACAACAACACAGATGAGTCTTAGAAATAGCATAATGAGTGGAAACAGCAAGTCCAGGAAGACAGTGTTTATAGTGTGACACCATTTTAATAAAGCTCAAAACACGCATAACTAAATAATACATATATTTATTTATTTATGGCAACACACATTTGTGATAAAATCATCTTTTTTAAAAGGCAAGGGATAACTGTGAGAAAGCTGGAGTTGCTATACTATTATCGAACAGAATAAACCCTAAAGCCAAAATAAAGTTGCTAGGGATAAGGGGCATTTTATAAAAACAGCCTGGTAGTTCCTTAAGATGCTAAACAGAGTAAACATTTGACCCCACAATTGTGTATACAAGAGAAGTGAAAGCATATGTTCACACAGAAACGTGTACACAGCTGTTCACGGCAGCACTATTCATCACAGCCAAAAAGTGGAAACAGCCCAAATGTCCGTCAGCAGAAGAATGGATAAAGAATGTAATGCATCCCCATACAAGGGGAATACTCTACGGCCATTACGAGGAATGATGCATGCTACAACCCGGATGCACCTCGAAAACATTGTTACGTGAAAAGGGCCAGTCACAAAGGACCACGTGTTGTATGATTCCATGTCTATGAAAGGTAACTGGCTCTATGTGTTGGTGTGTCCACAACAGAGAGGAGCTGATCGTCCGGTGCTGCCCATCTCCGTGACCAGCCTCTCCATCGACTCAGGAACCCGAGCCAGACGTGGACCAGCGTGTCTCCCTCAGACTCATCCTGAGACTGAGTGTACTCTGAGCCTATCTCCAGAAGAGTTCTCAGGTGACGCCCTCCACCTCTGCCACTTCTGCAGGTCGGGTCTCCACCGTTGCCACCCAGGCTGTCCCAGCTTCCTCACCCCTCCATCCGTCACTCTACCTCCCGTTCCGCCCACACCACGTCCCACACCCCCCACCATTTCTGCTCCAACCTAACAGACTGATCTGCCCAAATGCAGCCCTGAAAGGGCCACAGCTCTTCAGAGGCCTTCGCCAGCACTGCCTTCCTGCAAGGAGGGAAAAGGTGATGACCAACTACCCCTTGGGCTTGGTCTGTGGCTCTGGATAATGTCACTGTAACCAGCAAGTGAGGACACCTCCTCGTGGGATCTACCACCTCCCGCCACTCTTCACAACAGCAGAGAGGGCCCCCTCCTGCCCTGGTCCATGGTTGTCACTGACAACAAAGTTTTGTTGGTCTCTGAGCCTCTCTAGAACCACAATTTCTCCTTCAGATGGTTCGCCTAAAGGAACTTTAATGAAGGAACCATTCACAGGCATGTAAAGGGTTAAGGGAACCACTGAAGCGCATTCCAGTACCCAGGGACTAGCAATAGAGAAAAGCCCCATGGCCATGCCTAGACCTGCAGGGCCCAGGGCAAGGGCTCAGCCTCTGTAAAGCAGGGGAAGAGCAGGAGACAAATACCCCATCCTCTCTCTCCTCTTGCCCTCCATCTCCTGCCAAGCCCACGCAGAAGCCAGCCGGCCAGGGTTCCAGGCGATGCAGTTTCTAGGGGTCCACTTCCGGAGCCGGGCAGAGCCAGGTGGAGGATGGATGGGGGACAGGGTGGAGAAAACCAGCAGCTGTACCAGGATGATGGCGTATGAGGGGTGTGCTGTCGCCCTTAGAAGCAAGTAAAGAGCATAAATGATAGCTGTTACTGATGTTTGCTGCAAAGGAGCCGGCTTCTTGGGCTGTGCATCCGTCGATCATCGACCTCTGAACACACTGATCCAGCTGGAGGAGGGGCGATTGTTCCTTTGCATGAAGTTATCGTCTCCTCGCCTCCTCTCCCTCAGTTCGCTCTTGCTCTGCCCTCGATCAACAGGAGTGTCACTTCCAGGTTCAGGGTAAACCTTCTCTTCCCAAAGTGGCTCGATCTTCAACAAAGCCAGTTCAGGCTGTGAGTTTTCTGTGTATTGTTTCTCATTGCATTATCCCATATAAATGATACACCAGAAAAATGATAAATCAATAGGATGCTTCTTAAATAAGAGTGAAGTGTTACTTCTCTTGTCTTAATCACTTACAAATTCTCTTCTTTCCCTCCATACCTTGCCTCTCCATCCCCTGATGCAAACAGAGAAGTGGTCCACGGGCATTGCCCAGACCACCAGCAGTAGTTCTCCACGTGTCTGGCCGTGACCCCACATGGCTGGTAAAGCAGAGTTCCAGCCTGCTCCTGGGCTCCCACCTCTTCCCCACTCTCCACCCCCACCAGCCAAGCAACCCCTAAATCCCGCGGATGCTCTTGGATGCCATCTCCCCATCCCCACTTCCCCTGCCCAATCTCAGTCCCCACCCTCCTGCTAGATCCCTGCCACTGCATCTGGAGGGTTCTCCCTGTCTCTCGTCTTACCTCCTTCCTCTACATTCCACCCCACAGCCAGGGTGGTTTTTTTTTCCTTTTTTCTTTTTAATAGACTTTATTTTTCAGAGCACTTTTAGGTTCACAGCAAAATGGAGCAGAAAGTACAGCAATTTCCCATATACCCCCTGTCCCCACAAACACACAATCTCCCCCATTATCAACATCTTGCCCCAGAGTGGTGCGTTTGTTACAAGAGATGAACCTATGTTGACACAGCGTCATCACCCAAAGTCTATAGTTTACATTGGGGTCGCTCTTGGTGTTGCATATTCTATGCGTTTGGACAAATGTATAATGTATCCATCATTATAGTATCATACAGAGTATTTTCACTGCCTTACAATCCTCTGTGCTCTGCTATTCATCCCTTCCTCCCCTCTAACCCTTGCAATGACTGATCTTTTTACTGTTTCCATAGGTTAGCCTTTTCCAGAATATCTTATCATTGGAATTATACTGTATGTAGCCTTTTCAGATTAGTTTCTTTCACTTAGTAATATGCATTTAAGTTTCTTCCACGTCTTTTCATGGCTTGATAGCTCATTTCTTTTTAGTGCTAAATAATATTCCACTGTCTGGATGCACCACAGTTTATCTACCCATTTACCTACTGAAGGGCATCTTGGTTGCTTCCAAGTTTTGGCAATAATGAATAAAGCTGCTATAAACGTCTGTGTGCAGGTTGTTGTGTTGAACATAAGTTTTCAACTCATTTGGGTAAATACTAAGGAGCATGATTGCTGGGTCATATGGTAAGAGGACGCTTAGTTTTGTAAGAAATTGTCAGGCTCTCTTTGAAAGTGGCTGTACCATTTTGCATTCCCACCAGCAGTGAATGAGAGTTCCTGTTGCTCCACATCCTCGCCAGTATTTGATCATGTCAGTGTTCCGGATTTGGGCCATTCCAATAGGTGTGTAGTGGTATCTCATTGCTGTTTTAATTTGCATTTCCCTGATGACATATGATATGGAGCATCTTTTCATATGCTTGTTTGTGATCTGTGTTCTTCTTTGGTGAAGTATCTGTTCAAGTCTTTTGCCAGGGTAGGTTTTTTGTTTGTTTGTTTGTTTGTTTTGTTTGTTGCAGTACGCGGGCCTCTCACTGCTGTGGCCTCTCCCGTTGCCGAGCACAGGCTCCGGATGCACAGGCTCAGCGGCCATGGCTCACAGGCCCAGCTGCTCTCTGGCATGTGGGATCTTCCCGGACCGGGGCACGAACCCGTGTCCCCTGCATCTGCAGGCGGACTCTCAACCACTGTGCCACGAGGGAAGCCCCAGGGTAGGTTTTTAAAACATGAAAAATGAAAATGGTTTTATTGTTTTTTTTTATCACAACAGTGATACATATTACTGTTTTGAAATTATGTAACAATAAAAAGTTATAAAGAAGAGAGTGAAAAATCCTTGTTGTTTGTTTTGTTTGTCTATCTCTTTATCCTGTTGCAAAGTGACATTTTTTAAAATCTACCCATGTTGTTTCCTCACTTAAAATACTTGAATGGCTTCCACTGGGCTCAGGAGAAATTCCAGTTCCTTAAATGTTTTGTGGGGCTCCCGATGATCCAGCCTCACCCATTTCCTCTTCTCCCACCATCAACCCTTTGCACTCCATCTTTCCCTGGATTGGCTGCACTTGCTCTGCTCTCTAATCTCATGCTATTTTCTCTGCCTGGAACACCCCTGTGCCTTCTCTTTTTCCTGTCTCACTCCTATCTGACTTTTCAGCCCTCAGCTTAGATGCTTCTTCCTCCAGGCAGCCTTCTCAGGTTCCCTGTGACCCCATAGCTCTCTGGACTTCTCCTGGCATAGCCCTGGTTACTCTGTTTAGCAGTGACCACATTCTGACAATAGGGACTTAATTGGGCCACATCAGATTTTTTAGTGGAGGTGCCATGTGTCTTGGCTCACATATTGGCACGTGAACTTTATGTTTCCCCCCAGAAGAGATAAAAATGACTTTTAATTTGTAGGATGTATGTTGTCGATACTGCCCTGAAATAAGCCTTGGTG